GGGGGTGGGGTGGAGTGGGGGCGGGGGGCGAGGGGCGAGGGGCAGGCGCCGTATTTCTCATCCGACCGAGCACGACCGAGCGCGGCCGCTCCGCTCTCTGCTGCGTGGCTCGGCCCGCGGCTCGCGTGGCGCCTCGCGGGGGCGTTGGCGTTACGCCGCACCGTGTCGTTCCCCGCGACAAGTCAGCCCTCGTTGTCGCCTTCATGAGCTTCATGATCGCTCGCATGTTGCCCGAGGGCGTGGATGGCGCACGCCGCCGGTTGGATCGACCTGGCGCCTCTGGCCTGGCGCCTGGCCGCCTTGCCTTCCCTCCCAGCGGTCCTTTCCCTCCACCCGTTCCAACGCGTAGCCCGTTTCCGCCGGCCGCAGGGCCTGCAACCTGCGCGCGGTGTGATGGTCGGGCCCCGCGACGGCCGCGGGGGGCTTTCGCGGCCCGAAACGTGCGCCGGGCCGCGACGCCAGGGCGAAAAGTAACGTCAATGGACGATCGGACACCTTTGACGGCTGAAACGCGGACAGGCGTCGGGTCAGCGCCGCGGCCGCGTGACGCGGCGTGCAGGCGGTGCTGTGGCAGCGGGGCGGCCCCGCGGCCCGCCGCCAGCAAGCTCCACGTCTCCACGTCCCTGATGACGTAGCCGCGGCCGCCGCCGCCGCCGCTGCAGCGGCAGCAGCAGCAGCACCATCCAGCCGGGCAAGGCGTCCGCTAACCCTCTTCCCTTCCCACTCTCGGCCGTTCTGTCTGTCTGTCACTGTGCGTGTGAGCTACGTCGCCGGTTTGATTCGGCTGCCGCAAATATGCAGAAACTCTTATTATTGGTCTTGCTGGTTTTACCGGCCGTCCTCTTTACCGTAAATGGAGGTAAGTACCGGGTTTACAGGAGTTTGGAATTACAGGTGCCGGTTACTCAGACACCGACTGGACCGTGATGAGACCTCACCAAAATACGTGGCATATACTGACTTGTTTACAAATGCTATTCCAAATATTTCGTTGGCTGCATTTTAAAATGAAGGATTATACTAATTTAGAAAATATACCCTTTTTGTAGGAAAATTATCTCATGAGTTAAGTTTCCTTGGAAAAGAGACGAGTAGTGTCCCAGATGTTCATTCTGACTTACTGTTTCTCCTATTTGATATTTTTGTGATTGCCTCATTATCTGACGAATTCTTGTTTCGTAATTATTTGTTCAATTTTTATTAACTTCGTATTTACTCAATTTATTCTTGGTTCTTTCATAAATATTTAAAACCTATCATACTCAAGAATATAGGTTAGTTCCGTTGAACATATGATTGAAGCGGAAGTACATTTAAAATTGATTATCTGACCCTAAAGCAAATTTTTATTACCAAGATTAATTCAGGTTTTCAAGACCTCTAAACAGTTTTATTTCTTACGCTCTGGCTGATTGTCATTTGGAGGTGGATATACTGATTCAGTTGTCTTAAACGTTATCTCATACATTTCAGGAAACAAATTAGTGGCGTATGCCCAGGATGATGATGAAGAGCTTGTTGATGTTGAGGAGGCTGATACTGCCGTGAAGGATGAGGGAGTTACTGATGGAGATGATGATACAGGACCAAAAGCCTCGCCAGATGCTGAAACTACTATTTTGTTTGTAAACCCTGTTACTGTGCCAGGCAGTTCTTTAGGTGAGTAGCACAATTTTTCACTGTTTCATTATCTGTATTTAATTATTAATGAAGTAGTGAACTGTCTTATTTTATAAAAACTCAGACATTCAAATTTTTAATGGCAAATGACCTACTTTCATAGATTTAGATTTGCCATCATACTCACATTATTAACTTTTTTTCCTTATTTGCAGATCTCCCTGCTGGAAGAATTGCTGAGTTCCTTGTTGGTTTCTCCAACAAGGGCAAACAGGACATGACTTTGGAGTTGATTGACGCGTCTTTCAGATACGCAATGGACTACAATTTCTACATGCAGAACTTCTCTACCATTGCTTACCAGCAGGTTGTCAAGCCTTCCCACGAGTCAACAATCATGTACTCCTTCATTCCTGCTGACACTTTTGCCGGACGTCCTTTCGGATTCACGGTCAACCTTCACTACAAAGACGCTGTAAGATATTAACATTTGCATCTTGCTTAATTTTTATAGCTAGGCTTTTACTAACATTGTTTTTCTTTTTTCTTGAAAAGGCTGGTGTTATCTACCGTCAAGCTGTTTTCAACGAAACCGTCAACGTCATTGAAATTGAAGAGGGATTGGATGGTGAAACCTTCTTCCTGTACTTGTTCCTTGCTGCGTGCGTGGTTCTTCTTCTTGTTGCGGGTCAACAATTCCTGTACTCTGTTGGCCGCGGCTCTCGTGGTGGCCGATCTGGCGGTCGCAAAAACCCTGCTGTTGAGACTGGAACCAACAATCCCAACGATGTTGACTATGACTGGCTCCCACGTGAGACCCTCAACAGCATTAGTAAGTAGACAATATCATGAGGTTTGTGGAAAGAAAATTTCTATCAAGTGTATATGTTTCTAAAAACTTATAATTTTCCTTATTTAGACAAATCTCCCAAAGCACCTAAAATGAGCCCAAGATCACAGAAAACCAGCCCCAGGACAAGGAAGGCTAAGCGTGCTCAGGGAGACGATTGAAAAATTGTGATATCGACTTAGATAATTGGCTGCCACAGCTCCTGCAATGCATTACAAGACTTCTTGCCTGGCTGTGGGGTAATTCAGATATCATGGTCAAAGACCAACTATTTATGACAGACTGAATGTACTTGACAGAACAGTTGATAACTACACGATTCCAAACTGTGCATATACTTTCTCTAAGCTCATTATCAATGCACAAATGTTAAATATTTTAAAAACATCAGATGTTGTGTCATTTTTTGTATTAACTTATGTTATATTTTTTATGTTGACTGAAAATTACCTTTAAAGTGGAAAAAAAAAAGAGAAGAGTTATGAAGCCCTGTCAAGGGTAAGGTTGTGCTGAATTTTGTTTTGCAACTTAGTGCTGATAGGTTTGACCATGTGCTTAATTTTATGATCTATTTTAAGAGACTATTTAGAACACTCATTGAAATGTTACTCAGTATGTTGTGATGACTTGTTAATCCTCAATTTGAGGGTCTTGTTATCATTTCATTTGAACAACCTTCTGTCAAATGCTTAGTCTAGAGTATCTCAGTTGATTTACGATGCAGCTGTTTACTCTTCTCATACTACTGAATTGGTGTTCATATTCTTTTATGCCTCTGACATTTCTTTACCAGTGTTAATGAGATTATGTTTTTTGAAATGAGTAATTTGTTCTGGTACCATGTATTTGTATGTAAATGAGCCTAGGTAGATCTCAATTGTTGGAGGCAGACCTCTTGCGAGAGCTAGCCTGTTATCTTTTTTATTTAGTGTTTCTGATGTAATATATTTATATTATACATGTGTGTGTCTTTGAGATAAATGAAGACGGTTTAGACTCGAAACCCTCTACCAGAAAAGACTTCTGACAAGTGAATTTCTTGGTAGACTAAATCTCTTCATGTCGCACTGTATTTCCTCTGTGAGGAACTGTGACTGATTTCTGTTACATAACATGCTCGTTCACTTTGCATGAACTGAACAATGAATGTAATGTAGAGTCTCAACGAGTGTAAATTTGTTTTGGAATGGTCCCTAAACTTTTAGAAGGCACACAATAACATCAAAGCCTAAGTTGCAAAATGAGATTTTTGGGCTTGAACTAAAGGATTGTGTAAACTGTTTGCTGAGGAGGAAGACAAATAAAGTCTTAAAACTACAATTTGTTCTGTTTTTGTAGTCAAGATGTTACAAAGATTGGATCCCCAAAATATTTTTAAAAGCTCTGCTGGAATTCCAACGGCGTCTAAAGTAGGAATGTGTGTCCAGTTAGGAAAAGAAATAAAGTAGAATAAATTTCTATTTTACTTTTTAATTTAACAAAGCTTTAATAGTGGGTAACACTTTACATAATTCAAAAACAATATGTACAATCAGTTCCATCATTAAATACACAACTACCATGGTCGGATACAAATCCACAATGAACAATTCTTGTTCATTCAGAATTTCCTGCCCATCAGTCCAAGAATTAACATTAACATGAAATTTAACTCAAGTTGCAACAAAAAGATTACCAATATCATAAATCACAGACATCACCACATGCGACGTAATATAAACAAAAAGAGCATAACTGCTAGGTCAGAATGCCTTTGTATATATACAATTCAATAATTATGCATTTCATTTGTGTTTCTTTCACACATAGACTATAGTCAACAATTAATAAATCATTTATTTTTTAAAATTTAATGACCAACAGTCAATAACATACTCAATCTAATTTAAAATTTCCTATCAGAAGTAAACAGCACCACAATTTGCCATTTGAGAATGACAGAGGCATGATCAGACAACAAAGCAAATGGCAATGAGATCAGTCAACAGACCACCTCTTACTACAAATAATGGCTACATATTTAATTTGGTTGAAGCTGCTGCTCACAATTAAAGTCTACTGCATGGCACATAGTTAGCTTCACCTTAGGTGACAGGATTAGAGCAAAACAGCTCAAAAATGCACCAAACCACAGACATTTCTCTCTCCTCAGCGTAATTTTGAAATGGACACAGAAAATAGTAAGATAGGTACTTTGGATGTTAAGCTCCTGGTCAATATTCTCAAAAATAGGTGAAAGCAAGAAGAGATGAAGAGAGAGAAAGAGGAAGGGAACACTTTAGGTAATTTCTGGATGCAAAATTACAATAATCTTCCTCCACTGATTGCAAGAGCAACAATCTTCATAAAATTAATTAAAAAATAACAACCCATTGCACCTCACCCGCAGATCTAAAATAACTTACAATTTGTATTGTGCGTCATATGGCAATGGTTTTGGCACAGTTGCTCTACATCTGAGCAGAAGCTCTACATCCACAGAATAGAATGTACTAAAAAATTATGATTGCACAAAAATTAATTTTAAATGAGATGTTGTTTCTTTTTCCGTCTGAAAAAAAATAAATCATAACAGACAGAAATTACAATTTTCAGTCACAAATTAAAGTAAGCATTAACACGAAATTCTTTCCAACGCAAAAATAAAAGTCTTTGTACGATTGAATAAAATGCATTACATAAATGATAAAAGGAGAATGACTCTAGAAAAGTACTAAGTACTAATTAGCGTCAAATGAGCCCGATAATGTTGTCAGTTCTATCAGGTTTGATGAGCTAATTCTTCCAGTAAAATCTTTTTTCTTAACAGATAGAATAACTTAATCTCTTCAATCACTGGATGAGCTACAATGACAAATAAAAAAAAAGAAGAAATAATCCAGACAGTAAGTCCAGTCAATACATAAGGAAATCACTGGATGCGTTCACACAATCGTGACAATATGTCACGAGAGTTTCCAAAAACGCTCCCGAACGCTTTGCTAAATAAACTAATCAACACGAAACGTGGCTTTGGGACCTGCTATACATCAGCGAGAGATCCAAGTCCCAGATTTTCCTATCACATCGCTCTGCTCAAAAGTCCCTACAAGCAGTGAGATCACAATGACGCGCTGCAGACATAGCGTGACGGCGCGGGGCGGCGCGGAAGGCAATGTACAGCACAATGTACGAGTGCTAGGAACTCCAGCCCAGCACGCCGACGAGGGACAAAGGTGACTAGAACGTCGTGCCAGGCTCCTGCCCGCACAGGGCCCGTTGTCCGGTCCAGCGAATTCAAGCAACACGTCTAGCCACCTTTCGTTTCTTTTATTTCCCTCGTCGACGTGCCACAGCGTGGCACGTCACTCCCGGACGGGAGCGAGGACGGGCTGCCCGTGCTACTCCGGGACCCTAGCTAGCTTGGAGGGCATGGCCGCTTGGGCGGCGGCCTCCTCGGCGGCGGCGGCGGCCAGCTGGTCCGGGGCCGACCACCGCCGCTTCTTCCCGGCCATGGACGCCGCCGAGGAGTCCGAGGCGGAGGGCGTGGAGGCGGGGCCGGGGAGATGCTGTGTTCTAGGGTGGCCGGTGGGTGGTGGTAGGTTGACGGCCTGATGCTGCTGGTGATGATGCTGGTGCTGTTGTTGCTGATGGTGCTGTTGTTGTTGGTGGAGTTGTTGCTGATGAAGCTGTTGCTGCTGCTGCTGTTGCTGCTGTTGTAATTGTTGTTGTAATAACTGTTGCTGTTGCTGCTGCTGCTGCTTCTTGCCCCGTCCTCCCCGTGCACCAGTGGAGGCCTGAGACCTTTGGGTCGCCTTTGGCGGCTGCGGTGGCGGAGGTTGCTGCTGCTGCTGCTGCTGCTGTGGCTGTTGTGGTTGCTGCTGCTGCTGGCGGTGCGTCAAGGACACAACGACGTCTCCGACCTGCAGCGTCCGACAGCTCAGTCCCAGTAACTGCAGCGACCGCTCCGGCGAACACGAGGCCCAGCCGTTGCCGTACACGAAGAAGGGGTGCTCCGAGGTGGTCTCGATCTCCGACTGAAACAAGAAGAGAGGCAACGGGTAAGAAACCATTCAACAGGAAATTTATGCATCACCTAATCCAAATTTGTGATAGGCTGCATGCGAATTTTCCGAGAGAACACAAAAGCAACACATGGAGTGCTCGCCGCTGGTCCCCGTCGGACCATCAGACGGCGTGTCAGTTGCTTGCCGAGCCGAGAGCCGCGAGCGGCTGCGGCCAACCGACTTGAATCTTCATTTCAATCTCGATCCGCATTCCACGGAGAGCGTATCTTTGATCTCCCTCCTCCTGCTCCCTCCCCGCCTGTCCCGCCCCACCGCCCGCTCCCACCTCCCCCTACTACACTCCAGTCCAGTGACTACCACATTCCGAGTCCCATCTCTGTCGTTCCCTCGACTCGATACATTGACCTTGCAAAGGTCGCCATCCGCGTCACCCCTTCCCTTAACCATGCACTCACTCCACGTCGCACGTGTGAGTGAGGCGAGCCGACGGCGAGGTCCGACACTCTTCAAATATTCGAAACGGGAAGGTAATTTATTGGGATCGCTATCTCGATCTCGGCGCGGTCGGCCGGAGAAGGGGAGGGAGCAGACCGACCGGCGCGCCGGGCCGTCCCGAAGAGCCCTTTGATCAAATAGAAGAAAGCCGTGGCGCATTCCCGGCGTGACTGGGGAAGCCTCGGGGCCATTGATGTGCCGTGGTCCTGACGCTGACGTGGGGCTCTCTGGTTCCAGCACGTCGAGACGTCGAGCCAACGCCACGGAATTCGGCATGAGCCCCCCCCCCCCTCCCATCTCATCTCTCCGGCCGCAGGGCATAAGAGGAGAGCCGAGCGCGCGCGCGCGATTGTGTGTGTGTGTGTGACACCAACGACGTTAAGCGACTCTCCGCAGCAACCAGGGAGAGGTGCGAGAAGAGAAGGGAGAAGGGGGAAGGGAGGTCATTAACCCATCTGCCTGCAGCATACCTGCAGCGTGCAGCCTGCGCCCGGCGGGCGGGGCGGTAAGGAACGCGCCAGGAGTGGGATTGAGAGGAGAGTGTGTGTTGAGGGAGGAGGGGGGGGGGGCACATCACGAAGCGAACAGAGGGCCGCGCCGTTAGGCCCTCTCCGCGCCGCGGCATGTCCCCGAGACGACGGGTCCCGCCTCGCCTCGCCTCGTATTGCCCTGAAGGTCACGTCACGTGTTCTGTCGGCGCCGCGGAAGGACCTGGACCTAGACCTAGACTCACCTCCGTGCCGCCGACGCTGAGCGCGATGGACACCCTGCAGCTGTGCGTGGACTGTATCCTGACTACGGTAGCGGGGTCCGCCTTGAGGGTCGGGTTCCGCTCGGCGGAGGCCACGAAGTCCTCGGCCTTCATCTCCTGCACCCTCTTGAGCTCTCCGGACGCCAGCCTGTCGGAAAAGAGAGGCCTCGTGAACGGAACTGCCAATATGCGAGCGACGACGCTTGACAACCTGGCTCGGCCGACAACTTACCTGATGAAGGAGCCCTTCCAGAACTGCGGCAGGGTGGTGGCGGCCGCGGCCGTGGCGGGTGCTGGATGGGGAGCGGGAACAGAGGCGCCCGACAGGGCGGGCGCCAAGGCGGGATGGAGGTAGTCCTGCGAGACCGACGAGGAGTGCAGAGGGTGGTGGGGCGTCGCCGTCGTCGTCATGATGGGCGTCGACGAGGCCAGGGGCGGCAGCATGGAGGTGGTAGAGGTGGTGGTGGACATGGGCGAATGCTTGGGCTGGTGCGCGCGGTGCTTGGAGCTATCCTTGCTGCTGGAGGGAGGGCCGGCGGGGACCGGCACCTTGAAGGTCTTGGAGGCCACGGCCGGCTTGGGGGCCGGGTGGCTCGGGGGCGGCAGGGGCGCGGGCGAGGCTGCGGGGGGCGAGTAGGCGGCGGGCGCGTCCTGGGGCTGCAGGCGCGAGCCGTAGGGCGAGTAGGGCGCGGGCGGGTACAGGGGCGCTGCCATGGGGTAGTAGTGGTAGCCCATGGTGGCGCCGTGCGGGTGCCGCTCCTTGTCGTCCTTGTGGCCAGCGCTCAGGTTGACGGGGGCGGGGGAGGGCGCCGGGGGCGCCACGGTGGGCGGGGCCGCCTGCGGGCTGGGCGTCGGGCTCTGCTGCGGCAGGCGGTGGTGACTCACAGACTGGCTCGCGGCATACCTGCAACATCAACGTAGAAACAGTGAGATTCGGCGACGAAAGGCACTGCGGTGAGCTCTATGAAGCACACGGCATGCACTAGGAGGGTTAAAAATGGGACAATACATACGAACTAGATTCAGACGGGAAAAAAAAAAACGAACTTAAAATCTAAGCGAAAGCTTACCTTGCTAAATGTTGCTGCTGTTGGTGGTGCAGCCAAAACCTCAAATCAGGTTGGGAAAACATTGCAGCGCCAGGACCAGGCTCTCCCGGTCTATGCGAAAAAAGCAATAATCGAAAAAATAAATAAAAACGCAAAGCAAGAAAAAATATAAAATTCACTACAAGATTCAGACTAAAGGATAACTCTAGGCTACATTAAAGTTAAAAACAATTTAGGATATTTAATCTCTAAACATTATAAAATGCCTACTTATACAATTAAAACACTAGGACTATGTACCAATGGAGTGTTCTAGCTGCGAAACTATGTCTCTAAATGGAATACGTAGTAGACCCCTTCCCTAATGGCGTGATCAACTTACACCCACCTATGAGGAGGCATCGGCCGGAGGAACTCTCCGCTGGTGAAGGCGTTGAGCATGGGGAGGTGAGAGGGGGGCCCTAGGCCAGCCCCCAGCGCCGCCCCCAGGCCGGCGCCCAGGCCCGCCCCCAGGCTGGAGCCCAGGCCATGGCCGACCCGATGAGGCGGCTCCACGGCGAGTCCCGCGGATAACATCTCGTTCAAAGTCTGCAAAGAGAAGAAAAAACACACCATGTCAAACTGATAAACAACCTCGAGCTGACGCCAAGAAGATCCAAAACGAGAAAACTTGAAACGAGAAAAAGAACACAATCGCACTTTCCCCTCAAATGCTAACGGCTTGGTCCTGCCAAAGGCCTTAGTCAAGGACGCCGAGACCGAGATGAGCCGAGTAGATCGAGGGGTCCCCCACTCGTCAACTCGTTGTACACTTAGCCGCGCCCAACTCGCGCTAAACTCGCGTTCAACTCGCGACAACTCGCGAAAACTCACGATAACTCGCGAAAACTCGCGTGAAAATCGCTAAAACTCGCGCCAAAATCGCGCAAAACTCTCTAAAAATTGATCCCAACTCGCGCCCTACTCGCGGCAACTCGCCAACTCGGCAACTCGTTGTACACCTATTTTGGAAGTGGGGGACCCCTCGGAGTAGATCCGGATCGTGTCAGCCTCGTGGACCGGGCGGCTGCTGCCGGCCGACAGAGCGGTCGCAGCGATCCGCAATCCGATCCGGTCTAGGAGACGTGCTAATCCGTTCAGCGCCCTCATCCCAGTCCCCCCCTCCCTCTCCCCCCGCGTCCAGGGCGAGGGTGCCAGACACGAACCGAACCGCGACAGGCTGATGCTCAGAGTTTCGGACACAATCGCCACTATTCACAGGACAGCGCTGGAAATGGACGCGCGGGCGGCGGCGGTCGTCAGGGGTGGGTAGGTGGACCACCCGCCCCTTCCTCCTACCCCCGGCCGCCCCGACCACAAACACAAGGGCCGTTAGGGAGGATAGAGAGAAGGCCGCGCAGAAGCGCGCGAAAGGTCAGGGGTCAGCTCGCGGGCGGGTGGGGCACGGGGCGCCACACGAAACGGACAGAAAGGTCGCAGCACGAGCACGAGCAGGCACCGCGGGGGGATGTTATGGGGGCTGAGGGATGACTTCTTTAAGGAAACTTTACGAAGCAAAAGGTGTTGAACAAGCTCGATACTTTTATAGACGAGCAACAAAAAGAAATACTCTGAGCTCGGCGAAACTCACTGAAAGGACGGCGCGCTGAAGTTGTTGCGAAAGTGTTTGCCTTGGAAAACACCATCTCTACCCCAAACATCCATCCTCGCCCTCTCCATTCTTCGCCTCCCCACCACCCACGACGGCAGACATTTACTCCAAGAAAATATCCCACTCCACCAACCACCCGCCCCCGCGGACGTGGGCTGGAGGAGAAGGGCCTGGAGTGCCTCTCACACCCTCCCACCCGTCTCTTTTTTCCGCTTCTCGTCCTTCCTCCGCCCGGCCGCGCCTCTCTCTCTCGGCCTCGCCGTTTCCTTGGCGCGCAGGGTGGTGGTGGGCCGGGCCCACGCCCCACGCCCCCGCGGCGTGGCAGAGGTCGTCGCGAAAGTGACTCGGCCGCCTTCCTCATCGCGTGTCGCTGCTGCTGAGGGACGGACGGACGGACAGTCCGGTCGCCAACGGTCACTTCGCAATAACGTACGAAGCCCGCGCCCCGTCCGTCAGATAAGAAGGCAACACACGTAACAGAAAAGCACGCCAAGGCTTGTTCAGTGTACCGCGCCCCGCCAAGCAGGCCCAGCTCAGCGCCCAGCCCAGCCGGCCGGCCGATAGCAGGACACCAGCAGCTACCGCCCGCGCTATCTTATCTCCGAGATGATCCCTCAGAGCTTTCGACAGCGCGGCCGGCCCGGACCCGCCCCGCCCCGCCCTGTACGCGCCTAATCAAACAAACTAGGCGCGAGTGAGCCGCCTTCCTGCCCCGGCCCGTCGCCGCCTCGTCTCCGGACACGGAACAACGAGGCATCGATTACAACGCCGCCGTTGTAGACACGCCAACCTCCCGCAGCACGGCGCCGCTGGACGCTTGGACCGACCCGGGTTATCCCCATCACCCAAACCACCAGATCGGACCACATCACCATCATCATCCCCTACATGGCCAGCAAAAACGGAAGCAGCGTTCGGAGTGACGTCACGGAGAAGGGCCGGGGAGGAGGAAGAGGAGAAGGAGGAGGAGTAGGAAAAGGCGGGATGGCGAAGGGAGGCGACCTTGCCCTTGCGGCGTATATCGACCAGGCGAGCGCCCATTCACCAAAGCCAGGCCCAACGAGGGGGTGGGGGCAGCGGGGGCGGCGTGTGCGTGGAGTGAGTAGGAAGCGCGCGCGAGGGAGGGGACCCCTCCTCCAGTTGCTCCGGGCGAGGGGGGAGGGGGGACGGAGGGGAGGAGGCGGCCCCTCCCCTGGGAGGATGGGGGCGGCGGGGCGGGGCGCGCGGAGGGGCCTCAGCACCGCACAGCGCCGCGTGGAAGACCCGCAGGGCGCCACTCCCCGCCCCTAAAACCACCGCCTCCACCCCGGACGGGGGGGCGGGCAGGGGGAGGGCGGGCGCTCCAGGGCCGAGCCGGGCAAGCGGAAGTGCCGCATGGGATATGCACGAAGCGGGTGCGTGGCTGCGCGCTCGGGGGCGGGGGAGCAGGGGCAGCACTCGGCTCTAAGTGCAGGCGGACCCATTCATCACTCCCGCGGCCCGCCCCCGGCCCGCCCCCGGGACACACGAGCCCCACGATAAGCCCGCTCGCCGCCCCCGCTCCGCCACACCATCCATTCAACCAATCCACTCTGCCGATAGGAGCAAAAGGCGAGGTCGCGGCGAAAGGAAACCACGACATCAACCGGGGGGCGTGCAGCACCACACCACGGAGAAGAGAGCGGCATTTCATTCTCAGACGCGTGTGTGTCAAAGAGATAAGGTGACGACCGCCACTCACTCTGCTCCACCGTCGCGTACGACATGTGCTGAGCTGAGCTGAGCTCGGCACCGCACAGCAGCAGGGCGTGGCACCCCCGGGTCCTGCTCAAGGCATCACCACCTGAGTGTCCCGGCTGCTCCAGCCGCGGCGGGGGCGTCGCGCTGCCGCGCCGTCGGTGTCGCGCGGGCGGCGCCTTGTCGTGCTCGCCTTGCCGCGCCCGCCCAGGCCAAACCCAAAATAGCGGTGCGCCGCTCTCGGTGCGGCGGGTCGTCGTCCGCGCGGCCCAAACAAAAGGGGGCAGAAATAACTCCATTACGAGCGCGGCGGCAGCGCCCGCCTCTCCCTCCAGCAGGCGGCCCGATAGCAGCGTGGGCCGCCCCTTATCAGCGGCGCTGAAGGCTGAAGGCGCACCAGGACCAGCCCAGCCCTGGGGGGCCACACGCTGAAGGCTGAAGGCGCACCAGGACCAGCCCAGCCCCCGGGGGCCACACGCTGAAGGCGCACCAGGACCAGCCCAGCCCCGGGGGCCACACGCTGAAGGCTGAAGGCGCACCAGACCAGCCCAGCCCCCGGGGGCCACACGCTGAAGGCTGAAGGCGCACCAGGACCAGCCCAGCCCCGGGGACCACACGCTTGAAGGCTGAAGGCGCACCAGGACCAGCAGCCCTTGGGGGCCGCAAGCGTGAATCCCTTCGCAGTCCTACAGCCGCGGATGGCATGAATGGCAGACCTATTCGCGGAGCAAGCGCGCCGGAGCTAGGAGGGCCCCCCGGGGGCGGCGCGCGGCGCTCAGGGCGGGGGCAGAGCGGCGGGCGGGGGCGGAGGATCAATGCTGCACAGCACCTGCGCCCCGCCGGCCCCGCCCGGCCCCGCCCCGGGAGCCATGAATGGGGCCGCGTGCCCGCCGCGCCACCCACCAGGCCGAGCCCCGGTGGAAGCGGAGTACACGCCAAGAGGAAGAAGCGCCCCTCCCTCTCCACGGCTCGCCAACCAGCTCTCGCCAGCTCCAACCCTCCAAGCGGAGCGCCGGGGAGCTAGGCAACCGACGGCAGGCGCCCGCGGCGGGTGGCCTACCCACAGGCGCTCCAGCCCCCGCCAGCCTGCCCGGAGAGGGAAAGAAAATTTTGGGGTGCTATTTATGAACACAGCAGATGACTATCGCCCAACTACTTACATCCGGACGTCTCGCAGAGATTACGAAATATGAAAAAGGGAAAAGAATAGGGAAGCTTTTAATAGAACCTCCCCCTTCCCCCGCGTTCACGGCACGGGGCGCGCGCAGGGAGGGGGGGGGGGGGGCTTGCAGTTTGGAGTCCAGCGCGGCACGCACCATCATCACACTGCACACACATCGTTTTCCGAACTCATCTGGTCCACTCAGCCACGGCACGCAACGCGTTGACATTCCAAGCGCCGCGTTCCCACGGGGCCCCCGGCGGGCCCCCGGGCGGGGCGGGGCGGGGCGGGGCGTGTCTCGGGCCGTCACGAAAGGTGACGCGAGAAGAGCCCGCCAGCCCGGCGCTTCCGGGGTCAACGTGAGGGGTGGGTGTGAAGGGTGCGCCCGACGGAAAACTACCCCCTTCCCAGGACCTCCCTCCGCCCCCTCCCCCTCACCAATCCTCGCCTTGCGGCGCCAGCATAGCGGCCGCGCCACAAGGAGGGGAACGGCGTTAGTTTTCGAACGCGTCCGTTTCAACCCCTTTACACACGTCACCCTTAATTTATGCCCCTGGGGCCGGACGGGGGTGGCCGCCCTCCGCCGCCATGTCACAGGATCCGGGCAAACTTCCGGGTCGCATTTCGACCAGCGCGCGGGGAGCGTGGGGCGGCGGCGCGCCGTCAACCAGCGACGGGCCGTCAGCCGAAACGGAACGTCGGCAGTAAGGAAATAAAAAAATTATAGGGAAAACCATTACACAGACGAACCGAAACCTCTCGCCAAAATAATAACAAATAAAAGGGCGGCCAGACGAGATAACGAGCAGCGAACGTGACTCAATACAATAAAGCGATACAGAATCTGCCACCGCGCGGGGCCGCCGGGCGCGAGCAGATACGAGGAGTCGCGTCAACGGCGTCCAATCGGGGGCGGGGCGGGCGCGCGGTGGTATGGCGCAACTTCAATGAGAGGGACGATGAGCAATGAGCAGCACTCGCCGCCAGCCGCGCGCGCACCGGAACATGGAAGTGCGCCGCCGCTCCGCACACTGAGGTCGCGGGGGGCGGGGGCCGCCGGGGCCGCCGCCTGCAGCTGTGCACAAGCTGTGTGCG